CCGATTGCCGTTCGGCCACCAAGTACTGCCATTCGACGGCCGACCAGAAGTGGCCGAACGCCCCTACCCGTACATTTTTTATTACTATGTCAATTGGTATGGGTTAAGAGCAATGAGTGATGATAGTTCGATCCTGGTGGCCGAACGTGGCCGATTGCCGTTCGGCCACCAAGTACTGCCATTCGACGGCCGACCAGAAGTGGCCGAACGCCCCTACCCGTACATTTTTTATTACTTTGGGAACGAGGATCAACTCCTTTTCTTCATCTCTTCCTTTATAATTTCTTCTTCCACACTTTTGATCTTGTGAATGGCCATGAGGGGCTAAATCTTTGAGGATTGGTCTGGATGTAACTACTAACTCTTCTTCTTCTTAAATATATATATGCATTTCATTTTCATTTCTTGTGTTTGATTCTTCTCTTAATGCTTATATCGGCTTGATCACCCGTTGTATGATTTTTGGTTTTTGAATCCAGTTGGAAAACGTTTTTAAAAACCCGAACTGAATCTTGCACCTAAACATCTTTTGCTCTAGAAATAGACTTGATTTGTTTAGTCACCTTGTTCAAGCCATTGTTCTTAATGCAAAGTGTTAATTTCAAAACATAGAGGAATCATGTTTTAGATTAATCACTTTAGGATTCAACTTTGAGAGATCTTGTTGAATTACTAAATGAACGTGGAAGTCATGAAATTGAAATCATATTTATTTTAAGAAGATTTAAGATTTAACAAGTATTCCTGAGTCCAATTCTCGCTTCTTATAATTGTTCTTATAAATTTTACATTATCGTTTTATTTTACTTCACATTAATTTACTTTCAATCATATCAATGTCTTTTATTGGATCATTAGAGTAAGAATTACTAAATTCTCATATTTCTGAGGACGATACTTAAATACTACATCGAAACTTGGTCCGCTTGCGAAGTGGAGAGATTGCAAAAATCTTCATCAATGAGATCGATAAAAGGTTTAGCATGCAAGGTAATTTTATCCACAGAAACTTCACCTCTGGTTGAAATTACTGCATGAGGGGAAATTTCACTACCGAACCATAATATAAACAAGGTTTTAAGATAAAGGGTGCATATATACAAATAACATACCAAACTCTTGACTATTTATTTATAGGTCTTTCTTTCGAAATCTTACAATCAATATATCCGCTCCTTTATAAGTAAGAGAGAAAAAAATAGTAAATGATAAACAAAAATAAAGTTGTTCTAAGGCAAGTGTTTGACACATGCTCCATCCACAACTTTATCTCGAGTCAAACAAGAATTTCAACAAACGGTGCTTTCGTGTTAGGAATCTGACAACCCATTCAAAAGTAAAAAAAGCACGGCATCATCAAACTTTTCCATGGCAGGGCACCTAATTAAGAAACGGGTAAGAAATTTTATTACTTCAAGAGTCTTCAGAAGCAGGTTTAGTTTAATGTTAAATGCTTATCATTTCAATTGAAAATGTTGCTATACAAGTGACCATATACGACTGAAAACGCCACTCCTGTGTCCCCATTATAATAAACACGAAAAATGCTAGGAGAAACAAAACAACAGAGAACAAAACTTTATAAAAGGGCAAAGATTATTATTATTTTTAAAAGAAAACAACCACAGTGGTCCCTATTCCCTCTGTGAAGTAGCAATCAATTCCCAGGTACAAGAACAGACATCTCAAAAATGGGTCCAAACAAATATCTTTGATAAAGAAGTCTGATCCGTTGGGAATTTGGGACCTTTCAACAATTAAAATACCACCCATTCGCTAAATTCTCACAAATTAAACGATCACGAGTTTTGTAGCGACTGACTTAAAAAAATTAAAGAACATGACAGACAGATGAAACAAGAAAAAAATAAAAAAAGGAAGAAAAGACACTATTCTTAGATGCCAAATACTACCATAACGGTTTTTTGCCTCAACATATTTAATTATACCGAATCTCTCATACGAAATATGCATTATTGCATTACTATATCTAGATAAAAAAAAAAGAAAAAAAAAAAAAAAGACAAGTATATGCAAAGTTGTAACGAAATTATTTCCGCTATTCTTGGTTTGCGCTGACCTGAACTCACTTAAGAAAGAAGCAACGTAGAACACATACATGGGTGGCTAATGTTGTAATACATAAAAGTACTTTATTTTATTTTCCAAGAAAATTGGTTTCATGCTTCACTATTACTATTGTGATTATTCCTTTGCCAGAAGCTAAGAGACAGAACAACACTTGACTACAAAAAAACCAAAAAATAAAAATAAAAATAAAAATAAAATTCAACCCTACAATTCAAAGTCACGTTTTGTCTTTTTGTTTGCTCTCTTAGGAAACAAAAAAAAAATCCCATCTTATCTTCTGCTCCTTTGCTCAACCAACAAATTTAATGAAGGCCGTACAAGGATCACGTTACAGTGATTTTGCCCATTAACTATTGATCCATTTCTTCTCTTCACATTCTCAGTCCATCACTATTTCCTCCTATTACTGTGTTTTCTCCACATTTTTTTTAGGTAAACCGCCACAAGATGATAATGGACCATAGGATTAAATGTGGTCTTCTTGTGTTCTGGTACTTCAGCATTGATGAAAATGAGAAAACGGGACCGTGCGTTTGTTACCATAATCGGTGGTGATTTTCCTTCTCTTGAAGTCCTGCTCTTGTATCATAATGTTGGTTTTCTCACTTTCCAAGCTCACAAAATGTTCGTCTAAAACATTAACTGGTGTGTCTGAAGTTGAAATTATATTCAACGCAGATTCAGATTCGTACTCCTCTCTGGTTATGTCTTGTATCACATTATAACAATGCACCACAGTTTCCTGCAGTAAAATTATCGTACCCTTCATTATTTTTCATATCCATATAATAATAATAATAATAATAATAATAACTTTTTTTACACCACTCATTTTACCCGAGATAATTCTTTAACTTTGAGAAAAAAAAGAAGGGAAAAAAGAAAAAAGAATGAAAGAATATGTACTTTATTAACAAATGAACAATCGGATATTGCTCTTAAGAAACACGGATATTGAAAGGGAAACAACTCATGTGAAGCATACAGAAGGGCTGACGCAGCAACTGTTGATGGCTTGAATTCCAAGACCTTTATCTCTGAAGAAAAATAAAATAAAAAATAATAGTTAATATTTAACTGTGATCCTAGATTGGCAATCAAATTAAGTGATTTAATATCCAATGATCAAGCCAATTAAGCATTAACTATACCTCTTTGTGACTTTAGTATAATTTCAGAAGCTCGATCCTTCAGAACCTGCCTCAATGCAGGGTCTCTGAGCCTGAACAAATTGATGAAGAAGGGAATGAAAGAGAAGGGTGTGATCGAACGCATTCGCCACTGGAGAGCCCCCAAGACAATACCTTCCATTCTTTGTATTGTTTGTGCCTCAAAAATGGCACCGCCATCACCATGATTCAGAAGAACCTAATCAAAATGAATACTCCTTCAAATGAATACCAATCCCTCTTTCCAAACCTTTTTTTTTATTCAAGCACATTACTTAGAAGGCACAAACACTTTACCTGGACATCAGTGGCAGAGTACTCTGTTTTCAACATCTTGGCAGCTAGAGAAAAGCAAGAGATTGCAAGAAGCTTGTTTGCCCATGGCTTTGATTGCTGTTTCAAATACCCAATTTAAGTTGGTTAGATCTCAAGGAAGCATTTTTCATTGATTGTTAATATTATTTAGACAACACTACTCATCAATTATTTAACTTAAAACAATTTTCTCATAATCCTCGATATTAAGAGAAATTAGTGTAAATGTGATTGCAATTAAGATTGTAAAGAGTTGAAAAACCTTAACATTGCTTTCAAAATCCATCTTTTAGAACCTTGATACTAAGTATGAAAGAAAGTGAGGTAAATTATGAAGGTGGTGTTTGGTTTGATTTGTTTAGTTAGTACTTACTACTTACTACTTACCAATATTCCTTGGTTAGCGAGGAAGCGATCCAAGTAGTTGATAGCTAAGTAAGGTAGAACCGGATCGAAGGTGCAGGACAACTGAAGAGAAGGAAAGAAGGAAGGGACGTTGAGAGAGAGAAAAGACAAGATTTTGAAAGAACAAGGTTGGAGGTTTTGTCTTAATTTACCTGTGAGATGAAAGAGACGACGTCTCTTCTAACGGAGATGTCGAAGTCGCTGGCTTTGAGACTGTGACAGTAATTGGGTGGTGGGATGTGGTCGGATTCGAGGAGGAAGAGGGAAGGGACAGCGTCGCAGGGAAGGTCGTGGAAGTTTCCAAGAGGGTTTTCGAGGTCAAAATCCATCGACAAGTGACAAGTCTTTTTGTTGTCAAGTTGTTCTTAGTGGTGGTGATGAGTAACAAGAAGCAGAGGAAGCATTGTAAATAAAAGAGAAAAAGAGAGAGAGAGGGAATGATGAGGTAAAAGGTGCTCACTACTCACAGTTTGTTGCTTTCTTTAAATGAAAGCTTTGGAGGTTTTTCTTCTTTTTTTTTTTTCTTGAATATTATTGCATCTAAACAGGACTATTATGACAAAATAGTTTATTTAAGACAGTTATAAATAATAAGTCAAGTTAGAAGAGTTTTATATTAGTATAGTTATTAATGTATTTGGGCACACATATGACAGATAGTCTCTCTTGGCCCTTTGTCTGTGATTGGGAAATAGAAGAGGAGGTAGTTGGTTTGGTCCATCACCTGTTGAGTGCATTGCTGAGGGATGCATGAGAGGTGAGGATGCTGCTAAGCTAATCCTATGGCAGAATAAATCTTAAGAATAGTTAATAACCAAAAGTTCAGTTTATCCAGGATTCATATTCAAAACTTCCTCTTTTTTTTATATTTAATTATAATAAAAGACTTTTTCTATTTTTGTGAGAAGGAAGTACCCCATCTCTTGGGGAACTGTCTGTCAATTGTAAGGAATTTTTAATTTTTATACAACAAATTTATAAGAAGTGTTAATACATTCTTTATTTTTAATTAAAATTTATTAAAATTAAAAAATATATTATTAAAAAGACTTCAAAGACATTTTTTTATAAGTTTTAATAAATTTTTAACTAATTAAAAATATATAAAAAATATTATTATTATTTTTCTAAATTTATACATACAATTAGTTTTAAAATAAAAAAAGAAAATATATAAAACTAATTGTTATAATGAAAAGGGTTTAATTTTCTTATTTCTATATAATAAAATTTTTTCTTATAATCAATCCTTATATATTAAAATGTGAATGGTTATCTTGCACAAAAGTATATATTAAAGTATTTTTAGAAGTTATTTTTTGATAGAAGTATTTTTAAAAAGAATTTAATTTCTTATCAAATTTAATTTTTATTTATTTAAATTTATTTATGAATTAAAATTTAATATTTTTAAAATAAAAATATTTTCTTTGTCATAATATAAGTTATTTATTTTAAATAAAAGTATAATTTAAATGTTTAAAATATTTATTTATTTAACTTTTAAGTATAATTTATATATTCAAATAGAATATTTATTTAGATATATAATTT